ACCACTCGAAGTGCGAGTGATGTACAATGAGATGCATTTGAAGATGGAATATCTCACCTCATACCTACTGACTCATTCCATTTCGGCTGTGCGATTATGACGCTTGACATTTGATGCCTCCTGTCATTGGCTTCTGATGCTAGCATTCACCAACATGGCATAATGTTACTTGCAGCCCCACATGGTGGGGCTAAAACAAACGGTCTTGCACGTTGCAACACCACATTAGTCACATTGCACGACAGTATCTTTGCTTATAGTAGCACATTTCTCCACATCGTGTCCATTGCTTGCATTATGCCTGGAAGTATACACTATTCTCATCATGAAAATACAGCTAAAGCGAAGACAATAAGTTTATTCGGGAAAGAAATGTTACTCTTTTGAGCCCATCTTGTTCCATGATACTGCTAATTTACTTTTGTCAAACTTGAGAAAAGGATTGTTTTGGGAAAAATTGGCTGTCGAGTAAACGATTTGCTTATTGTGCAGTATAAAGCAGAGTGCGAAGTGGTATTTAAGACAGATGATTGGAAAGTATGCTTCCCCAGCAGATCATTAAGATGCGTTATATCGTGTTGAGTACTCGAATATAACCAGTAGGCTGTCAGGTGCCAAATTAAAATAAATGTATGGTAGTTCTTGGTATATGAAACTAAACTAAGAAAAATTGTGTCTTTCTTGATCTTTTTATCTATTTAAATCCCCAACTTGATGCTTACCTTTATATAAACTGAGCAAGAGCACAAATTTGTGGCTCAAAGTAAGGACTGAGGGCCTTTAGCTTGCTTGTTGAGGTGGAGATGTCTGTGGACTTCCGAATATCTACCACGAGAATAAAGGCCTAATTGCAATTCGTTTTACCTTGATTATCTAAAGTACGATTCTTTTACAATAGCAAGATAGATCTTAGCCTTAAACTTCGTTATGAATAAGTTCAAACTGTTACAAGCGCGTCTTATAAAATTCATTCCTTTTGCCTCCATTTGTGAGAAGGCACTAAAGGAATTGGAACTGGGTTTTACGGCTCGAATCCCCTATTTCCATAATTGAAATAAGTCATTGTCAGCTGCTAAGATTTTTGCCAGTTGAATGACAGTTCAGCTCTGCTGAAAGTAACTTTTGTCCGATAGTTGTATGCTAATGCACGCACGACTCTCAATCTGCATTAGTTTGGCTGCCATCTTAATGGAATGGACAACTGTCCATACCTACAGTCACCTAGGCCGACTGTACTGTAGTTGTGAATCCTTTCCCATACCAATTCCACCCACTGCATGCCATGGACTGCTACGATACGTTTACCCAACTATGCTCAATCTACGACTTTTCATCACAGGGTGCTACGACTGCGTTCTGTCCCAGTATTCATCAGTGCTTTCACAAAATCGGCACTATTCATGACTGTAGCCTCACCATCACACAACTCGATTTGCACATGTTGCTTTTGTGATCTTTGAATGCCCCTCCAAACACTTTAAGACGTCATTTTTTCTTCTTAGTCGGTCGATAGGCTCTGATGGGTAACTAGCCTGCAGTGGTGTTTTGCAATGTCCGTTCACTCCACGTGTCGCCTGAGCGAGACTTCAGTTGCGTGATTTTCCACGTCTCGCCTTAAATCTGCATCCACTCTAACCCTTTACCATCCGCGTTTGTTATTCGTTTTTTGTATGTCACTGAATGCCATTAGGCAAAAGTAATCAGGCTGCGACTAAACTAAGTTACTTTAGAATTAGCTCTTAAAAATTGCAATTACAAGAATGAATTTAAGTGACTGGGCATCAACCGTTGTGATGTGCCTCTGCTTAGAGACGTCGAGATTAATACAGTCAATGCCCTCTAGGCAGCATTTTATAGCAGTAAATAAGAAGAAATTCTTAATCGGCTATCTTCAAGACAGTTTCCTGCCGATGCACGGGTATCGATACGCTGTGTGATCAACACGCTGTCATTACGAGAGACTGTTGCAAAGTAGGATTTGTGGTGAAATTCAAATTTTTGGGTATCAATTAGTTTAAATGTCAAATTCATTGCCTGTCATGATAGGTGAGAGGTAATGCCTCGACGGACTTTAACTTACAGAAACCTGTAAGATGTAGTCGCTGCATTGCATACATTACAAGGAGTAAAAATGTCTCACCCTAACGGTGCGCTATTGTATCCTGCGATTACGCGCCTGACGGATTTCATTCCAACTTGTTTACATTTCGAAACGAAGTTGAGTCAATACTGGAACTGCAGAGGCAGACTTTCAAGATACCATTCGAAAGAAATGACGTACCATGCAAAAAGGGGGAGATAAAGATGCAAACAGCAATCCATAATTGTAGGACAAATTTGCAGATCATAAGCACAACATATTTTCTTGAGTATTGATGCATGAATCCTGCACATTGGTACGATCCATTTTCAGGAGTGCGTTAATTCACCTGATAATTCCTTGTCTTTTTGAAATACTTAACAAA